TTTCTGAACATACTTGTGGAGAAGCAAGAGATTTCCTGGCATAGGAGAAAACTGTTAAATGGAATTGAGAAAAAAGAAAAAAAAAGAGAGATCTGAGAAGGAAGAACTCTGCAAAAGAATAGAACACATCTAATCAGGGAATAAAATTCTCTCTATATATAGCTTTCTGCTCTAGGACTATCACTGCCTTAATCTTTTTTTTTTTTTTAATATTTATTTATTTACTTACTTACTTGGCTGCACCAGCTCTTAGTTGCGGCACCCGGGATCTTTTTAGTTGCAGCATGTGGGATCTAGTTCCCTGACCAGGGATCGAACCGGGGCCCCCTGCATTGGGAGTTAGCTGCTGGACCACCAGGGAAGTCCCTGATGTAATCTTTTTTACATTAAAAGTTTGAACCGAGTTGATTAGTGACATTTTCTTACAGAGATTTTTTTTTTTTTCATTTTAGAGAAGAAAACATGAGGGGAGACTGCTGTATTGTCATTGTTACTTCTTTTAAAAAAATTTATACAAACGAATTCATGTATATTTATATAACTTATCAAAACATTTTCTAAATGAGGGCCAAGTGAGTGATTTTCAAGTACTAGAAACCATTCTTCTAACAAACTCTAAAGTAGAATCCAAACAATAGCAGATAACATTTTTCTGAAAAGCACCATGATCCCCTCACTGTGCTAAGCGCATCACGTGCATTACCTCATTTCATTATATGAGGTGTTATTAAACCAACTTTTATGTGAGGAAACTTACCCAAGTCCACTCAAGACAGTTTAGAAAAACAGATACATACTGAATTGCTCCAATTACTTTTGGGGGTGAGAGGCGCCAGGCCTAGAGCCTCAACCACTCATCTGCCCTCACCCCCTTCTTGTCCTACCTTCCACAATCCCAGTCCAAACTTCTGGGACTTCAGTGAAACACCACTCTGCCTCAGACTGGACGTCTGCTGGGCACTGTGCTAAAGAATGAGATGACTCAGTTGCTCTGTTTAAGAAGAGTTCTAGCTACCCAGGTGTGGTTAATTTTAGGTGTCCGCTTGACTGGGCTAATGGAGGCCCAGATAGCTGGGTGTGTGTGTGGCAGTGACCACTAGACTGAGTAAAGAAGATCCACCCTCCCCAATGTGGGTGGGTGTCATCCAATCCGTTGAGGGCCCAAATAGAATGAAAAGGCTGGGGAAGGGTAAATTCTCTCCCTCTCTTCTTGAGCTTGGATATCCATTTTCTCCTGCCCTTGCACATAGGAGGACACAGGAGCCCCGGGTTTGGGGGCCTTGAGACTCCAGGACTTACACCAGCAGCCCCCTCTTTCCCTCCTCTTTCTCAGGCCTTTGGCCTCAGACTGGAAGTTACATCATAGGCTTCCCTAGTTTTCAGACCTTCGGACTTGGACTGAATGTCACCACTGGCTTTCCTGGTTCTCCAGCTTGCAGGCGCCATATCATGGCATATTTCAGCCTCCGTAACCATGTAAGCCAATCCTCATAATAATCTCCTCCTACATATCTATGTACTGTATACCCTATTGGTTCTGTTTCTCTGGAGAGTCCTACCTAATACGCCAGGGCTGCTCAAAATTTTATTAAAATAGATTATGACTGGAACCACAGAAGGCGTTTCCTTCTCATACCTCATCAAACAAACAGAAACCAAAAAATGTTCAAACATTCTGCTTGCTGTTCAGTGCTCGAAATTGGTTTTAATTAACCGTTTAAAAAATAGGCTACAAAATAGACAGAAACACTTTTGAAGGAAATGTAGGTCCTAGAAGGGTACACATAACAGAAAACGCCCTTAAAGGAAGTACCTCCTGAAAAGTTTATGGTTGGTTGCACAACCTTTGAGGCTGTCTGCTCTGTGCCCTTCTTAAACCATGGTTCTGGCCTAGTTTCAAGCAGAAGCTACCTCAACACTGGGTTCTAACCCTATGGAGATTTACATGGGGACAAGGAAATTCATGCTTCACACACAGGCCCCAGCCTGGGAATGGTCCCCTTGAATCTTCTGGCGGGTAGCTGAACAGAGTTAGTGGGGGAGGGGGTAAGGTTAGAATCTGTGAGCCAACAAGCCAGACAGCTATTCTGGAAATACTTTAAAAGGAAGAATGCTTGAACTACATGTGTGCCAAACACCTGTTCTGAGCCGTCCCAACTCTCCTGACTGGGTTTTGACTCCTGGTGATTCTGGTTTTACAGTTATGGGACAGTAGAATCAAAGGGGAAAAGGCCCTCCTGTATCTGAAGACCGTGGTGGCCTATATGCCCAGAACTGTCCCAGGACAAATGAGAGCTCTCATCAGCCCCAAAAAGCACCCACAGCTCAAAAGAACTGGGAGCATTTGAGTGGGGAGGCCCTCTACAAAGGCTTTTGACAGCACAGCCACAAAGAGGCACAAAGAGAAAACCAAAAGGAGCTCTTATAGTTGCAAAGACAAACATGTTTATATAGAGAACAGGTGGAAGAGAAGCAAAACTGGCTATCAGCGACTGTTCCCAGCAGTACCTGAGAAACAGGTAACTTCTGTTCCAGAGAGAGCAGAGCTGGTGGTGGTATTCCTAGCAGGGTGGCCTCTCTGCTCACCTCACTCAGCCAGGGCCAAGTTCAGCGACTACAGACTCCAGAGTCCTGACACATGCCCTGCTCCATCATGCCACACTCACCAGGAATGCCTGAATCTTTTCATCGAACCCTTCCTTTTCACTCTACTCTGAAAATTTCTGGCCAGATCAGTGTGTCAGTTTCTCCAGGGTCTTCATAAACTGCCCAGATAGTTGCTTTGAGTCTGTCAAAGACTCAGCACACTCCACCTGGTCCCAAGAAGCTCTTCAGTCACCTCTTTTACTTGGTCAGCGAACCTCTCCAGAGACTTCTCCAAATGTCTTAATTACTTAATTGAACTTCTTCCCCTGGACCATTCTTTTTCCTGATTAACATCATCCAGCGACCATTCTGTATTCCAAGTGCTGAGAATGGCTGCTCCATATCCTCAAATATGAGTTTCTGAAAGAAGCGCAATCCCTCTCACAAAGTCTGTATCATTTGAGTTGGGTTTGTCAGGTGCAGGGTGGGAGGTCGTTCTATGCAGAGAGAATGCATTGTGCAAAGACACGTGACATTAATTAACTATAATGTGTGAGCTAAAGTCGGAAAGGAGGCATTTAGGGACAAATTGGGATGGGTATTTTGCAGTAAGCTGAGGCATTGGGCTTCCATGATACAAACCAATAGAGGTTTTTAAGCAATGGAGTGATTTGACTACTGCGTCTTTTAGCAGTATGTAGGATAACCTGCAAGAGGGAGAAATTAATGCCAGTGTCCGGGCCTTTTGAATGAAATTGCCCTGATTGTAGCCTCTGCGTAAGTGTGTGTTTTTGTTATCTATGGAGTGATGATGGACTGTCCTATCAGGACTGTCCACTTAATGACCCTGGAGGTTTTTTTCTGGGCTTCCTGGTAATGAGCTAGTAATGAGCTACCTGCAACTAGTGCTTCCCCGTAGTGGGAGCAGCTGAGCATGGCCTCACTTCCTACATGATACTATCCAAATGCTATCAGCTTGGGAATGCAACTCCCCAAAACAGCTGATGCCCAAGCTCAGACTATTTCTCCCCTATTTACAAGGACACTCTCATGCTTGCCCTATAAAAAGGAAGAGCAATGTTTGGGGTAGGGCCCAACTTTCTGGAGCACAAAGATGGTGCATCAAGCTAGCCCCAATACACCTCTCTACAGGATGATATGACCTTGCTGGTGTGTTTCAGAAACCTCTTTGCCCCACAGTACTTCAAACTTCCCACAGCTGATTTGACCATGGGTGGCCAACTAACCCAAGTCAATCTACATATACTTTGCTCACTAGCTGAAAATGTATAGCCTGGAGTAAAAAGATGAGTTGTGTCAATGGAATTCTTCCTTTTAGGGAGATAAATAGGGAGTACCAAAAGGCTTGGCCATTTAGCAGCAGGAGCAGTTGCTTGAAGAGTGTCAAAAAGTGGGCTAAGGGTGGTGGGAGCTCATGCCTTGTACAAGAGAAGTTAAGGCGGGAGCTGGAAAAAGGAGGGCAGGCCAGCGTGCAGAGAGAAGCGAGACCTCAGGGAAAGGAAAGTAAGAGAGTAGCCAGGCTCCAGACCAGTTTTAGTTTTTATGTTTATTTTGGGTGGGAGGGCGGGGAGGGGGAATGACAGGCTTCTAAATTAAGTTTCAGATTCCATTAATTATTTCTACCATTCTTTCACCATCCTATTTCCCTAGACATTTTCTTTTAAGTTACATGAATGGATTTTTGCTCCTTGCTCTTTGTAAGCCTTTAGAATGCTATGGTAGCTATTGTTCTGGACTTCCTGAAAAGCTTTCCTCCAGCCCTCACCTGGTAACACATTCTGATTCCTGGCCACAGGGGAGGAAGGTGCACATGTCCAGTAGACTTTTGGACATAAAAGGCTGAAACTGGGGTGACGGTTTGGTTGGAAAGACAGATTTTAAAGGCATCATCATATAGATAAAAACAAATAAGGAAATAATTGTTATACAGCACTTTTAGCATATTAGGTACTGTGTTTGGCACATTACATTAATATCAGTGAATTCTTACAATAACATATCTAGAGATTATTATCGCTTTGGACATGAGGAAACTGAGGCTTAGAGAGTTTATGTAGCTACACGGTCACACAGTGGTAGGGGTCAGAGTTGGGATTCCACTCCAGGATAGGGGGTCAATCTACGAAGCCCAAGCTCCTCCAGCCATGCTGGGTGGCCTCCCAGGACATGGGAGGACACGAAGTCTATTTTCTAGGAAGATAGTGATGGTGAGAGATCAGGGGTTGGAACTCCAGGGCACTCTAACTCTTGAGAAGAGGAGCTGGTAACAGAAAAGAGTAAGTCAGAGAAGTAGAAGAGCCAACCACCCTGCTGCTCCGGAAGCGGGAGGCGGTGAGCGTTTTGAAAAGCGAAAGGGTAGCCAGCAATCAAATGGGTCAAAAACATCACAGAGGAAAAGGAATGAATTGGATTCGGGAATTAGAAGCTCAACTTTGGTGAAAACCGAATTCTGCTGCTGAAAGCAGAAGGCAAGTTTTAAGGGGACACAAGTTCATAAGAATTGGGGGAGTGAGGAGTGCGAGTAGACTATGTGGATTGAGCAGGTATTGTACTGCCAACGGAAAAGGAGACAAGAGTGAGGACGAAGCTCAGAATTCACAGTTCCAAGGAGGAGCAGGCATGCGAGATCAGCGTCGGACAGAAGAGGCGCCTTTTGAAACAGAAACTAAGGAGGTAAGTAAGGCGTCATAACTGGAATGAGTCTGTGCATGTGTGAGAAATTTAGGCAATTTATATATTTGAGAACAGTGAAATCTGTAAAGGTAAAAATAACAAGACGAGCTGTAGCACATATTCGCATCCGGTACGTGTTTTTCGAGCTAATTTGTTATCCTCATTTTACAGACTGGGAACTCCAGGTTCAGTACCTTGATCAAAATCCAGTTGCAGGGACCAACTCCAGAGCCGGCAGCTCTGAGCCCACGCTGTGTGTCGAGGTCAGCGGTGAGTAACCAGCCCGGCCCGGGGCGGCGGCCGAGCAGGGCGCAGAAACTACACTTCCCAGTGTGCCCGGCGGGGCGGGGCGGGCGCAGGCTCCTTCCCAGAAGCAAAAGCGGAAACAAAAGAGTCTCGCCGGCGTCCCCGCCCGCATACTCGCGCACACTCGCTCGCGGGCGCACTACGAACAGGCACCGGCACCCGGAGCGAGCCAGAGAGCGGCGAGCTGGGGATTCACCCGGCTGAGCCAGCTGAGGAGCCGGCGAGCCGGGCCCGCGACGACCCCACGCCCCCGAGCCCCGCAGCCGCCCCCAGCCGGCCGGTATCCCAGCCGCCCTCCCTGACCCATGGCGCTGAAGCGGATTCAGAAAGTGAGTGCCGGGGCCAGGCCTGGGGCGGCGGGGCGGGCTTCGGCCCCCTGCCCACGCTGACCCCGGCGGTGGCCCCTAGAGACGCGCCGCGAGGGAACGTGAAGGGAGGATGGGCCGGGGCGGGGACCGGGGGCCAGAGACGCCGGCGGGGCCAGCGGGCACCCGACAGGTGAGGTGGGAGCCGCGGTAGGTCCCGTGTGCTGGAGGTTTGTTGGAGGCAGGGGGCCCGCTGTGCGCTCGCGCCGGAGCTGAGCCCCGAGCCCGGGCTGGAGAGCCTCCTTGGTCTCCAGACCTTCCCGCAGTCTGTGCTGCTCGGTCACTGCTGGATTTTGCCCTACACCCGGCTAGTTTTGGCCCTTGTCATGCTGCTTTCTCCACGCTGTTTCTTAAGCCCGTCCTCTTTATGTGCTTGCCTCCCCGGGTTCCCGGGAGGGCCTGGGCCTGCAGCCTTCCTCCGCGGAGCTGTTGGGTTTGTTCTTTCTCTCCTCTGCGGTTGGCTGTTGCTCAGATGCCCGAATGGGGTGGAAAAGCTCTTTTGGGGCCGAGAAACCAGGAGAAACCTCCTGCCTCTTCTATTTTGGTGCCTCTCCTGCTGCCACTTTAGGTCACATAGCTGTAGTGAAAACATAGTTGCTGATACACAACAAGATGACCTCTTGGCTGTGATTCATCGTGAGTCAAGCCAAGCAGGTTTTTTTTCCCCTCGTGATAAACTTATATGTAAAGTTTGTGACACAACAGAAACTGCCACAAATTAAATTGTTTGATGCTTTGACACATGGCTATAGAATGAGGAAGAAATGTGTATGTTCATTAAACAAATATTTATCCATCCCAACTCAGTGTTAGGAATTATCTTCTCTTGCATAATGTTTATTGCTACAGTCTCTAATGTGAACATCTTACAAAACTGAGGTTGGGGCATTTTCTTTCTCTTCACTTTTATTTCTTTTTGGGTTATCACGTCTGTTCACTGACACAAGTTTTAGGTTTTTACTGTTATGGTTCATGTGGAGAACACTGAGAATTTGTTTTTTTTAATGGGTAGTGCGTTCAGCAAGTTAAGCCAACAGTGGACAGCATGTTTTACAAAGAATTTCAAAAGAAATCCTGCCAAAAATTTGTGTCAACTTTTTCAGGCATGAATCCACAGAGCAGTGATAGAGATGTATACATTGTATTCTCAGTTACCCTTGGTGTCATCTTCTGGTACAGAGGACAGCAACTTTCAGACCCAGCCAGTTTGCCGGGGGTGGGGGAGAGGTCAAATACTAAATCTGTGAAATACTGTTATTTTTTTGTGCCTTTTAAGGTTCCTCTCACTACAAAACACATAGCTAATCATCAGCATTTATTGATTAATGTGTTTTCTGATTTGAAGATAATGCAATTACAAATTTTTTTCATGTAGATAATTCTCATTTTGAAGCCACACTCAGCATCTTTGCCATGTCTTGTGTACTTATTAATGATGATGTAATGTTGGCTCACATTTGAGGTAAACACATTTTTGCAAGGAAGTCTTAAGATTCCATTTCCTTCTTCCCTAGTTGTGAGAATTTTTCACAAGGCTTCGCACATCCAGTAGCTTTTAAATAGCGTAGAATTTGTCCACAGTAAGTAAGCATTCAAAGAAAATTGACACTCTTTGTAAATATACTGGGCAATTATCAATCACCATGCTAAGCCAATATATTTGGCTTATATTTATAATATGGCATATATGAAAATCATATTTTTAGTAGCTATTGGTTATTATTAGTTTATAACAGAGTTGTCTGTAAAAAAAAAAAAAAAGAAAAATTTGGGATCACATAATATCTCATCTCTGCATATCAGTCTTTGGCTTTTCTTCTCTGTTATCAGAAAAGTTAACTTGTACAAATCTCTTTTCCAGCCATTCTTTCAACTTCAAGAGGCATTTAATTTGATTCCCCACTTTTCCTCTTTCTTTACCTACCTCCTTGACTAGAAGCAAATTCCAGGGGAGCTGTGCTGTTTGCCATATTCAGTTAAGTTACAAAGCTGTCTTTGATATCATCAGTTTACAGATTCTTTTTGAATCTTGCATGCTTCAACAAAAGAATACGCATAATTAACTTTCGGCCTTTCTTTTAAAATGTAATAAAGTAACACTGTCAGGTACCTTCCAGGTCATTGGGTTGTGATTTTCGTGTACCCACAGTGGCAAGCTTTAGAACTGTGCAGAACCTTAAAGAACTCTGCAGGAGTGGAGTGGGGTGGAGGGCAGGGGAATAGCTTACAGGCAGTGGTCCCCAACTTTTTTGGCACCAGGGACCGGTTTCGTGGAAGACATTTTTTCCATGGGGGTGGTAATGCGAGCGATGGGGGGGATGGTTCAGGCTGTAATGCGAGCGATGGGGAGCCGCAGATGAAGCTTCGCTCGCTGGCCCACTGCTCACCTCCTGCTGTGCGGCCCGGTTCCTAACAGGCCATGGACCGGTATCCAGCCCCTGGGGGCTGGGGACTCCTGTTATAAGGTAGTGTATCAGAATCACCTGTGGGACATTTTCAGACTGTCCCCACTGCTGTAAATGGAGAGATGTTGAATCCCACAGATGCGCTGGGGTGGAAAGAAGGTTGTGAACCACTGACTGACATTCTAGTCTACTCTCCTTATTAGAGAAGGAGCTTGAGGTTTGGAGTGGAGTGCTTTGTCCAGGTTAATATCTTAAGAAGTGATTTGGCATGTTTTTAAAAGTTCATAACTTCACTTCATCTGAAAAGATTAAAGATAGTTGAATTAAAATTGTATGAATATACAAAGCATGTGGATATGAGTGCTCAAAATATATTTTTATGCTAGAGTATGCTAAATGATTTAATACTCTGATTTAGACATCCAGTGCCAGTTTTGCATTTCGGCTCATAAATTTACACACCCATGCCTTATTTTTAGACACAATGGAAGATGTTGTCACAGTCACCTGAATCACTAAAGGGAAAAAATTTGAACAAAGTCTGAGGAAGGATCCCCTAAAACATGTCTGAAAAAAGAGGGCAGTTTTTCAGCTGGACATTTATTATTTTCTAGAATTAATTTTGAAGTGTTTATTCTATGAATACTATTTTCATACCTTGGTAAACTTTTTTTGGAAATCATTTTTTAAAATAATTATTTTTTGGCTGCATTGGGTCTTCATTGCTGCGCGTGGGCTTTCTCTAGTTGCGGCGAGCGGGGGCTACTCTTTGTTGGGCGCGTGGCCTTCTCATTGTGGTGGCTTCTCTTGTTGTGGAGCACAGGCTCTAGGCGCATGGGCTTAAGTAGTCGTGGCTCGCAGGCTCTAGAGTGCAGGCTCAATAGTTGTGGTGCACGGGCTTAGTTGCTCCGTGGCATGTGGGATCTTCCCGGACCAGGGCTCGAACCCATGTCCCCTGTGTTGGCAGACAGATTCTTAACCACTGCGCCATCAGGGAAGTCCCTGGAAATAATTTTTTTTAATTATAAATGTTATATCACAATACTGAATGTCTTGAAAACCAGAAAGGGAAAAAAAAAGAAAGGAAATTCTAACAGTTATCATCTTAGTATATTTCCCTCTAGATTTGAGTTTTGTTTTGCAAATACAGCAACACAGATGACTATTCCTCAGTATATAGTTCTGCTGCCAAAATGGAATATTTGTATTTTTAATAGTCAATTTAACTTAAAATGTATATATAAATTAAAATACTTTATAAGTATTCTGAACTGTTGAATTTTTTGTTTTGTACACTTCCGCATTAAACTATTTTATGTCAGTGTAGAAAACCTTAGGATACTTCAAAAAAACAAACAGAAAAAAAAACGCAGCCCTTTGTGGATGGAGCATCAGATGGGAGAAGAAGCTCTGGTTTCTGTTCCTGGCTCTGTGACTTACCAGCTTGTTTCCCTATCCATACAGCTGCTGATAAGTACAACCAGCATGTATAATATATAATGGTTCCTCTGTGCTAGATACTGTATTAAGTGCTTGACATATATTAATTGATTTAATCATTAGTGGGCCCAAGAGGTAGAAACGATTATTATCCCCATTTTACAGATGATAAAACTAAGGCATAAAGATGTTGAGTAATGTACTCAGAATCACATTTTGTAATTGTAAGTGGCAGCACTAAGAGTCCAAACCAGACAGTTGGCTCCAGAGTCCCTGCTTTTAACTATTTCAGTATATCCAGGTAGACTCACATCTTCTATCTGTTGTACTTAAACTGAAGGACATAGAGTCAAATGAGTTTATGGATGTAAGTGTTTTGCAAACTGGAATATTCTGTACAAATGTAATGTATTATAATTAAGACCTTGGCATATTTAATCATTTTCACTGATCCATCACTCAGCTTGTTGATTATGCATTGTAAGTTTTTGCTCTGAGGTAATGTGCACTAGACCGGTTAACATGGTAAAAGAATAATGTAACTTTGTTCATCTTTATTCCATCACTTAAAATGTTTCTCCTCCAAAAGGATTTAGAAAAATTGGTGTAATTCATAAATGTTCTGTCAAAAGTATCATTTCATTGTGAGGTTTTCATTTGAGAAAATGGTTTACGAATTGATCTAGCTATTTAGTTCCTATAATGGCTTTGAATAGTAGTCAACAGTTCAGATTACACAGATATATTAGAAAGA